TTCGATAGAGGACAGATGTGAACATCCAGACATCTCGAATTTCATTGGTCCAATAAGGGACCAATCAGGTAAATTTCTTGATAGAAGTTTTGAGAACGAGATTCTAAAGAAATTTCACATTACATTTTGATCTGTGGTATTACCATTTGATAGAGGAATTTGTTCTCTTTCGATCTACGCAAAGCCAAGAACTTTAGCTCGTTCCATTCAAGAGATAGGTGAATTTTGCAAAAGCCTCAGATTTTGCTAAATTGACCTTTGATGATTCGAAAAACTGTCTGGAGAGAGGTAGTTGATCTTGCTAAGTTGAATGGCAATGTTTATTTTTGGTTTTAAAGCGATTGAGGATGTCTTCAGCAGGATTCCTGAAAATCCATATCTCCTGACATGGAAGGTAAAAACAAGCGATGTATTGAAAATCTTTCTATACAGATTTCCAATCGTTTTGAAATCAAAAGTAAACGTTATCATTCGAGTTAGCAAGATCAACTATCACTTTTCAGACAGTTTTTCGAATCATCAGAGATCAATTTAGCAAATTCACCTATCTCTTGAATGGAACGAGCTAAAGATCTTGACTTTGCGTAGATCGAAAGAGAACAAATTTCTCTATTGGATGATAGTATTACAAGTCAAAATGTAATGAGAAATTTCTTTAGAATCTTGTTCTCAAAATTTCTATCAAGAATCCATTCAGAAACTGAATGGCAGTAGATTACTATAAAGGAATATGGAAAAGTGAACAGGTGTTCCATTATATTTAAAAATTTTGTTTTAAAAATAAAATACATCTAAACATCAATTCCTGCGATATTTCTCGCATACTCTATACGAATGATGTGCATCATTATGTGCAAGTCAATTTTCTCTAAACTCGCATATGTATTGAGTCAATTTAAGATGTCGCATGAGAAATTTTATGTAATACATACTTGTGTAAGAGTAAATTCAGTTGTAAATGTCGTTAATTGATTTTGATTGATTAGATATTTTAATTGTCTAGCTGCACGTTTCACTAAAAAATTTTGTCCAAAGAAACTAATTTTTAATTCTGTTTGTCCTGGATAGATACAATAAATGATTGTATATGTTTCTAGTCGTTGTTGTTCTTGTTTTTTTTTAGTGATAAACTGTTCTATTTTTTTTCGGAAATTTTTTTGTATATTTTCAAATTCTGGTATAATTATATCTTGTATATATAATATTTCATTATTAATTATTTGATTTATATAATTTTCTGATACACTAAAAACATCAGTTTTAGTAAAATAATGAACAACATAATATCCTGATAATATGTCCGTCTTGCGCCATACAGTGAATAGTTTTTGTTTATCAAAAATTTTTTGTATAACAGTAATATCCGAATCACAATAAAGATTTTTTGACCAATAGATAACTAAAAATATTAAAAGAAATTCAATAATGATAATTAAGAAAAATGATGAAATGAAGAGACTGAAGATTTCTATTTCTATACTTTCATACTCTATTTATGTTGTGTTTTATAAACTAATTAAAATTATTTGATTTAACCATTGTTTACCTTTTTCATCTATTACTTCATTGTTGAAAATTTTTGTATTAACAGTTTCAAATAATGATTGTAGATCGTTGTAAGCATTTTCTATAGAGTTTTGGACACCTGTTAATTGTATTTGTATTGCAATATTTTTCTTTTTTTGATCGTCTGATGATATATAACATTTTACATCATATGTATTTGAAATGTACTCTATTAAACTAGAACAGAATAATTCATTTTTGAAAAATTTCAAATTAATATCCATTGATTTAATAGAATATGCAGTTGAACATGTTTTTATATCACTGGTTGTTTTATCCAATTTTTTTGAAATATCAACAGATGAAGCGGCAAGACTAGATAAAAGAAAATTTAAAAGATGAGTTATTAATACTTTGTCGATAGTTCAGAAGTGTAGGAACTTTTTCGAAATAAGTCTATATGTAATATGAACCTTTACTTTATTTATATTTGACATTTATTTTGAAGAAGAAATTGAAAAATTCTTTCTTGGTATATTGCTTATCATTTGTTTCAAAAACCTAGGAAGATTTTTAGTGGCAATAACTCAAAGAAAAGACAATTAATAAACTCAGGATTAAGTTTTCATAGGGGAAAACTTAAGGCACAAATATTTTAATACAACAGAAGTATTTGACACATTATCTTTTTATTTATTATTCTAGGTTTTATGGATTCGTATAAATGTCAACTATACTTACTCTTGTTTATATATTTTGTTTTTTGTATCCGTGCTACTCGAAGAAGCGAATATAGATGGAACTGGTTCAGAGGGTATTCTAAAATGTGAAGCAAAAATGCTTGAAGAGATATTCATAAAGAAGAAGAAGAAGCTTTAATTAAATTCATTATCTCTATTACATCTTGAATGCTTATATTATATCTAATGACTTACATTTGTTGCTGATGTGTATCAATGTTAGTCACTTTTGAAACTTCTTTTAAATCAGTAGGTACTTTAGCTTTGCTAGATAATGAAAGACTAGGCAAGATAAATAAATATTTATATAATTAGCAAAAGAAATAGATGTTGATAGATAGATTATTTACTCTGCTCTTTTTTCCCGTTTATTTTTTTCATATTCAAATGTTGCCTTCCATACTTCTAGCTCTGCTTTAAATATACGTTTTGTTTTTAGTGTTGGTTTTTTTCCACTACCATCTTGATTTGATACAGATAATAAATACTCAATTTGATTGTCAGTCAATTTCATTAGAGTTTCACCATCAATATTTTCGTCTAGTATAAAGGAGTAAAGATAGTATACCTTCAATTCAGATAGTTCACTTACCTTTGAACCTTCGTATATATTTTCCAAAGCCATTCTTGCTTAACCATTGGCTAACTTGATCTACTGTCCAACTTCCCATCAATAAATCTACAATATTTAAACGATAAAAATTACGGATATGGATGTGAACTGGTTTTGGTATGGGTGAATGATAGTAGAAACAAGATCAAGACTCACAATCACAACCAATAGATTTTGAAAAGATCTGTCTTAATTTAATCTAGTTCGCCGCTAATGTGTAAATATGTCACGGAATATTATGCTCATTTTCTGATAATGCGAGACATCACATTATACGAGATCTATCGGTCGATATTGTTGTTTACAGAGTCAAAGAGCCAACTATGTTCATTTGTATCCGCACAACATCGCCTTTTAATATCCGATTTAGATTAGCTGTGCACGACGCTCATGAATTAGTGCTCGACATTCGATACTTTGTTTTTCAGTCATAAGAACTTTCCAAACTTTTCTTTCATATTCAAAAATATTTAATTTAGTTTTAAGACTCTCTTCTCCAAAATCTAATTTCGACAGGGTACATGAAATATGTTAGGAAATTCTCAAGAATCAAGTTGTCAAACAGAGTTTTTACGTCTACAAAATTTTTTCTAATACATTTCGAGATCCACAGTTCGAATTGCTCTTATTTCAAAGAGTACTCATTACTACTTCAGATGAAGGAAAGGTTTTGTTTTTATTTTTTACTTTGATACATTTTTAAGATGACCGAAATCTCAAAAATCTAGGATTTTTCTACTACTGACGATCAATTAAAACGTTTATGGAGGTTCAATAAATCAAGTAATTTATTATATTAAAAGCGATACCGACGCTAAACATGACAAATATGGGTTATTACATGTATATTCTGAAGTATACTAATATACTGTGATATAATCGAGTATTTTTTTAGTTCTAATTATATCTAGAAAAAAAAGCTAATTTGCAATTAATAGGGTAATCTTTTGATTATTGGGATGTACCTAACTATTGAGCTAGATTCGTGTATGAGATAATACTTAACATCCAGTCGGGAAATATTTTTTCTACTCGAAACTCGAATCGATCCAACACTTTGTATTCAACTCAATTGTAAGACTCTAGCAGTTGCCGCTTTTTGTAGCTATTGTAAACCGATCGAATTCATTCGTCATGATATTGTTGAAGCTTAAGAGCTTTCGACTAAATTCATCTGGCGAATTCGAGATTAAAGATAGAATGTTGTTCAGCTACAAACTTAGAATAGGTTTATTTGACTATTAATGTTCTTATATATTTCATATACAACTATTAATATTAGTATTCTGTGATGCTAGCAGTAATTTTCATGAGCTAACCGCAATCAGTATGAAACTCAAACTTACTTAGTGTTTGATACGACTTTCGTTGATGTGTTATATCAAAGTAAAGAGACTCAAAAAATGCAAGTAAATATTATCATTCTCGTATCTATTTTCATTTCTGCCTGCTTCAACATTGTCTTTTTCTTATCATGAAAGCTTGTCCTAGGTTTCATGCTGTCGAAGCAAGTCGATTTGCAAACACAACAATACTCAGAAAAAAAGTTGGAGAATCAGAAGCAACAAGACACCGAAAGATAAGAGCAAGTATCTCTAAAATAAATTATTCTTTACTTGTAATCTTCAAACCACCAACGACTAAAAAATATTTTTCGAGTAAGTTTTGCAGTATTTGAAACACTGATAAATATATCAGTAATGTACTGTTCAATTTTTGTCCTTACACTTACAATTTGGATTTAAAGTAAAGGTTTATCACAGTTTTATTCAGGACGATCCGAAAATAGTAACGAAAGTATTTTAAGCTGTCTTATAAACAGCTTAAAGAGATTTTTTTCTCAATATAGATTGATAGTAAAAAACGACGCTCTATGCAATAATTATCAAATTAATAAAGTTTTAATAAGAGCTGTTTCACTACTATGTCTAGAAGTAAAAATAGTTCATATTATCTTCAATATGTGTTTTCATCTTGATTTTCTCTTATTCTTAAAAGTCCAGGTATGGGTGTAAATCTTCTTATAACACACAAAGGTATACCGTCATCCTCTTGATAATTTCTGCTCAATGATATTACCTGTTTCGCGTACTATACATCATATACTCTCTCAAAATGTTTTATTTTAGATATCAAAGTCAATGGCAGATTGGACAATAGATCAAGTTGGTGAATGGTTGATAGAAAACGGTTTTGAAAATAATGTAAAAACATTTAAGGGTAAAAAGATTTTTTTGTATTTTATCTAATTATATTACCTTTCTTTTATGAATTATTATATTAGATAAAAATATTGATGGCTTGACCCTAATGAGAATGAACGATGATAATATTTCACAAATGTTATGTATATTTGATGAAGATGGAATTATTGAAAAACCAACAACTGAAGTAAAAACTAAATTTAAAGAAAAATTAGAGGATTGGAAAGTAATGGTTGAATTAGAACAAAATAAACAAGTGATCAATAACGAAATAGAAAAGTAAGCAAATTAAATATAAACATTCATTTCTGTTGAGTATATTTAAGATATTCAACTAGAATGTCTGCTTCTTCACCATCTATTAAGACAAGGGATTATTGGATGGATGATGAAACTTTTTCAAATATGGGTTCTATGGAAGAAAATGAAGAAAAAGCGTGAGTATATAAAAGTTTCATTTAAAAAATTTAGATTCAATTATTTCAAACAAATTAAGTTATATCTTTATCTTCCTGGCACATCTACTAACATAATTAATTTTTTTTTATTATTTTAGAAAGTCTGATGATATATTATCTTCCACTTCCTCCCTTTCGAATGTGTCATTCGATTTAAGTAAGGTAATTATACAACACGTTTTGATAGTTGTAAATTCATGAAAATTCAGGATTTTCGTTTTAGAAGAAGTTTTATGAATAATAAGCTACTGATAATAGGCGTTCAGACACTTTTCATTTTTGTTTAGAACGACATTGAAATTACTTGATATTTCATTCGAAGAAATCTCATTAGGATAAATTTTACTTGAAACTAAAGAGAAATAGAAAGATAATAATTTAAGAAGTAAAAGAAGTTTGTATAATAAATTTGTTAATCCAAAATTTTTACTCAAAATTAAAGAAAAATTATTTTTCACGATAGATATCGAGTGACTGTTGGAATTTTTCTTACTACTGAAATCCGATGAAAACTAAACTGTTTGCTACAAGAAAAAATGCCAAAAAAAAAGATAGATCGAAAGTGTTTTTTGTACCATTTAGTGACTTTTACTGTCATCCATGCTGGGCAGATAATCTGCACAGAAGGTTTTTACTTTCTTTGCTGCCACATTGCTAGCTTCTCTTGACTGTTGCACCCTTTCCTTCGCATACCGGCCAGTACAGTATCTATCGACATTGCTTGTAGATCTTTCCTTTTCTTTGAGTGTGATCAACGAGTTTGCGCTTCCAACGACTTGACGATTGTTGTCTCAGACCAGGTTTCAGCTTCTCGAATGGAGTACCAAGGAGTAAAGTTCGTACAAGACATTCACGAAACTGCAGAATAGTCATGTCACTTACGATATAATTTTCCTTGTAAATCAGATAATTATTAACTACTGTGATTCCAAATATCAATTCGAATGCCACCTTTTTATACCATTTTATTGACTGTCTGAGACATGTATAGTATGTTGATAGTTGATTTGATAAATCACTACCTTGCCTCTCTTCGTTGTGATCGAGAACAACTTGTGGTTTCATGATGCATTCATTTAGTTTATTGGTTTTTCTAGTGTCCACCACAGTTGCTGAATGGAGATGACTTTGTAGATATCATCAAAACGTCTCTTTTATCTTTCCATTTGATCAGTTTTATGCCGTTCTTGTTCTGGAGCCCACATACTTTACCACATTTGAGTTTTTTCTGAACAACTTTATATCCTGATCTAGCACGATCACTGCTCAATGTTCAAAAGTACTGAAGACAGAACAGACGACATATTATGTTTAACCTTCTGCTTAAGAAAAAAAGCAAAAGAAAATGCATTTCTATACAGTTTCTCATTAAAATATAGCGTGTCGAATGTGTTGAGACAATTAATTACGATATCTTTTACCTCTGGATTTCTTGTACTTCCTCAATAATTTTTTTATTTCATGTTTTGCCTATATCTTTATAGATCGATTCATCAAAACAAGAGATTTTGAAATTACCTTCCCCAACAATATCCCCTGATAAAGATCAAATAACTGACATTACTACTAGTATTGATAAAACAAAATATTTAGTTAATGATAATATTCATATTCAATTCTTCAAGAATCCAAAATTTGGTACATATCTAATAGAATATTTACAACAAAAAATATCTGGTGTGAAAATTAAAATTGAACAATCATCATCCATAAATGATGAATTATTTTCATCATTCAACTACATATTATATTTATCAGGATCAAACCAAGACATTGAATCTACTTACGATGAGATCAACAACTTATTTCAAACTATAAAAATAAAAATATATAAATCACTTCGAGGTAAAAGTTTCAAAAAATATATATTTCACTAATATATGATATATCCAAATTGATGAAAGTTTTCAGTCAAATCGAAGACGAGAGACTTTCAATTAATTCTATGTTTTTTTCCATGGGAAATGACTACTAGAATATTTTTCTGTATTTAGACAAAATATCATATCATAAATTATGTTTTTTTTATTCATATTTCAGTTAGAACATGGTTACGCAATCCAACAGCAGTTAGTATCATACAAGCAATAATGGATAATGAAAATAATCTATTTACTGTATGTCAATCAAATGGAAAATATAATGATATTCTGAAAATTTTCTATTTTCATAATGAAAACTTTAATTATATTCAAAATATTGATAATATTATTCAAAGTTATATTCGAAAAAAGATTATTACACTACCATCAATAGTTGACAAAAATATGATAGAAAAATCTAAAAAAAACACTAAACATGATACACAATCAGGATATTCTACTACGTATACAGAACAATATCAAAATAAATTAAAGGAAATGATAGAAAATTATAATGAAGAAAATAACATGATTTCTATTATTTTAAATGAAAAAATATATAATAAAGTAAGAAAACAACAGAGTATTCATATATTTGGATCTATCAAATTAGTTAATGAATTTATACAAAATTTTCAAAATTTAGCTGATAAAGATACTTTTACAGTCTTCAAATTCAATCCCATAACATCAATTCAAGTAAGTATTTTGTGTTTTTTTATAGAAATAACATTCTGAGAGTATAGAAATATAAAATCCTATGCTTAAATTCTAGATCAACCTAAACTTTACTTCTTAGCTCATATCAAATTCGCACTTTGTTGAAACCACTATGTATAGGTATTATGAACTAAGTACAATATTCACCTGGCAACTACGATATCTAAAGAAATTTCACATAAAAAACAATTGCTAGAATCTAAATGTTCAGAATTTACACTAAAACTATTAAATTAATGTGATTCTTTGTCTAATCAATTTTCTTCATAGATTTACATAAGTTTTAGTAAATAATCGGAAGTTCTATTGATTATAAATCAGAGTCCAATCTGGATTAATTTTTCGAGACTTGACATGATTGAATCCTAGTCAGACTTTGATATAAATTGATGAAATTCAAAATACTTCGAGCAGTAAATGATCTTCCATGTGTTAACATTTTCAAAAATTAATCATAACTTTGAATGTAAATCGTATTCTTTCTTTAGATGGAATATCTTACAAATATTGGCTCGAAAGATTTAAAAGTAATAGAAAAAGAATATCAAAAAGAGAATGCCAAAATACGAATACGATATGATGAATTTTATGCACCAGAAAATCTTAAAAATGATATTGAACTTAGTATGAATACTTTATTATCTTCATTAGAATCAATTACATTTGAATGTATGCCATTATATTATGATATAGCTGATAAAGAAATTTTACATTTGAAAAATATTGCACATAAAAATCGTTGTGGTTGTGAATTGATATTAAAAAAGAATTTAAAATTATATAGAATTCCAAAAGCTATAGAAACATCATCTACAATTAATTTTGTTTCAAGATCACTTATTAAACAATCTGAATTATTTTGTTCTTCACCTGTAGTTAGTCAACAAGCAAAATCATCGAATGGATCAATTGAAGTTCTTATTGGTGATATAGCAGTACAAAAGGTTAGCAAAAAAAAACAGCAAACTATGCTTTTTTTTCTATTATGAAATTAAGCAAAGCAGACTAAATTGATCTTTGATATTATTTCATGAATTGTTGTTTCTGACTTAACTATAGCTTATTACAATCATTTTAAATCTAATATTAATATTTATTAAGTTTATAATTTATCCTAACAAGATATGAGTGATATTATCAATGAATTTTGTTGATATATTTTTTTTCAGTGTAATCCTTTAGATTCTTAACAAAAAAATGTGTTGTCTTAATTAAGGATTCTTTCTAATGTTCTAGGCTGATGTGCTTATTATTCCACTCGTATCATACGGATTAAAACAAAGTCTTATTGAGCGAGCGGGTAATATCATAAGACAAGAACAACAAGTAGAGAAAACCGAAAAAGATAAAAATTCAATTCCTTTCTTCATTGAAACAACAGCAAGTAATTTAACGTGTAAAATTGTCTTATTTTCAAACTGGTCACCATTAAAAGCAGCGACGAACGATGATAATTTAGTCGAACATATACGAAAATTTATTTCGAAATCAATTAAATATGTCATTATGAAAAATGAACAATCGGATATAAAAATTGAATCAATTGCATTTGCAGTACCTGATTCATGTAAAAACGAAAATATTTTAGCTGAAGAAATGATTCATGAAACCAAGCAACAAATTGAATTAATGAAATCACCATTAAAAATTTCATTTATTATATTACCTGATCAACAAACATTGTATCAACAATTTTTAACAGCTATTCAAAAGGTGCAATCAAATGATGATGTTTATGCGGTATTTTCCTGTCCAATGTCAAGTAAGATGTTATCTGCTACTCATTTCAAAATAGAAGGCGGGTGATTGAGAGTCGAATAATTCGGGAATGGAAGTAGCTATGGAGCTGTGATTTTCACCATTAAAAATCGAACATCGGGGCATGTAAATCTATGAAAAAATTTCATTGGTCAGTAATAAACCAAAAGGATGAAAGTCCGCTGGACATTTGAAGATGCCTTTTGGAATGTTTTTTTTCGTTGAATTTTGAACTTCAATTAAATCATTCCATAGAAAAAATTGTTCTCTTTCAATCTACACAAGGTCGAACTCGATAGCTTGCTTCATTCGGTAGCTATAAGTATTTTCCTGAAACCTCCGAAATCGGCCAGTTGACACGAAATCGCTCTTAAAAGCATTAGATTATAGATAATCGACCACATTGAATTCAGTGATGATGTTTGTTTTTTATTTCAAAGTAATCTCAGATTATTATAAAAAAGTTTTCGTGAATCTAGTTTTTGCAATGATCTCAAATTACTTTGAAATAAAAAAACAAACATCACCACTGAATTCAGCGTGATCGATTACCTATAATGTAATACTTTTAAGGGTGATTCCACGTCACCTAACCGATTTCGGAGGTTTCAGGAAAATGCTTATAGCTACCGAATGAAGCAATCTATCGGGCTCGACCTTGTGTAGATCGAAAGAGGACAATTTTTTCTATCGAATGGTTTAATTTAAGTTCAAAATTCAACGAAAAAAGCGTTCCAAAAGCTATCTTCAAAATATCCAGCGGGCTTTCATCCTATTGGTTCATTACTGATCAATGGAATTTTTTCATAGATTTACGTGTCCCAATGTTCGATTTTTAATAGTGTAAATCGCAGCTCCATAGTTACTTCCATTCTCGAGTTATTCGACTCGCAATCACTCACCTTCTATTTTGAAATGGATAGTAATGATGTTTTTATTTACTTGATTCAGACTCATGAAAGAATTTTTTACAAGGATCAGTGAAATAAGTTGTCCTATTTGTTTTTTTTATGAATATGTCTTCTATCTTCACTTGATTCGAACGCTTTTTTATTTCAAAAGATTACTCTAGAGATTCGCTACAAAACAATATACTTGACGTATAGTATATCTGTTGATGCTTTCACAGATTTATATTCGAAGTCTGAAACTCGAAGAGTAGTTTGTCATAAAGTAGTAATAGTAGATGCTACAGATAGTTCTATAGCTCAAAACACCACTCAAGACTCCTATAACATGAAAACGGTGTGTATAGATGCTTACTACACTATGTGAGATATTTTGATGATCTCCAACGTCTCCTCTTATGGTCTCAGACTGCTCCAAAATAAAAAGTATACATGTATACGCTGTAATTTTACATAACCTAAAGATCCTAAATTTTAGTTTTCAATAAGAAAGATGATCATAGACACAATTAAATCGTTCGTTATGAAACTTCTCGAACTAAATCACAATAGATTTTCGCTGATCTATCGCTATTTTCATATTGATTTTTACAGTCATCATTTGCATGCTTTAAGTTTTCATCTTTTATCAAATATATTTCTAAAACAATTTCTGAATTCAATCATGTTAGAGAATTTCAAATGAAATCTACTGATAAAAAACGATGTTTCGATCAAATGAAGAATAAAAATAAAATTTTCAAAAATCATTCTGAATAAATCAAATGATCTTCTTTCATTTATCTTGTTTCAGCTATTACAGTTAATTTGATTTCATCCAATAATGAAAATTTAACAAAATGTAAAGAAAAAATAATGAATCATATAAAAAGATCTATGGTTAAAATAAAATTAGATGAATTCAAAGATTGGAATCAATATATGATCAATGTTTTCTATAAATATTGTTATGATAGATGTGTTTTACTAAAAATAGATGATGATAAACGAATTCGATTAATTGGTCCAATCAATAATGTTTATGAAGCTAAACATAAATATCTATTGACAAATGCATTAATACAAGAAAAAATACATATACAACAATTAATAATTAAAATACCACGATCGAGATCGATCATTCAACCTCAAAGAACTGAAAGTATATCAACTTCTGCGTGTTACAATATAATGTTAAGTTATTGTCAAGAAGATTCAACTATATCTCATCATTTAGGTGATCGTCTTATTGATGAAGGTTTTTCTGTATGGATTGATTTGATTGGATCTAATGATAGTTTTTTACAAATTAATAAATCTGAATGTATCATTCTTTGTATCAGTGAAAATTATATTGAAAATAAATTTAGTCAAAATACAGTAGAATATATGAAACAAATGGGTAAACATATTATTCTTGTAAAAGTTCAAAATTGTATTTTGAGTGATTGGTTACAACAATTAATTCCGAATGAAATATATTTTCAAATGTTTGGATCAGAAAATTATTTTGATTTACAATATGATAAAATACTATTAAAAATTGTGAGTACTCAATATTCGTCATCTTGAATGCAAATACTTTCGAAATATTTGAATTAGAAATTTTCATAATACGCGCAACTTCTCAGCGAGTACAACACACTACACATAAAATTGTGTACATGTAAATTATTTTGTCTTCAGTACTTGTTTCTTTGAGTGGATCCAAAATATTTTCTGTACTACTCGTATCTCGTTTGACAGACAACACGATTATATGGAAGAAAAACTTTAAAAACTATTGCTGACTTTCTCCTTTCAAATATCCCAATTACTTTTGAAATCTGTTTCTTAATATTCAAGTTCAAACTTCTAATGAATTTGAACTAATCAAAGAACTATAAAATTTCTGCTTTCTTAACTCTTAAAAAAAAGTATAAACTAACGATCTATTCACTAAAATTTCTCTGATTTTTCTTTCAGTTACAATATACTCAACCTGGGTATTCTTCTTTACTTCAAAAAACATCTCATACATCCATTATATTACAACAGGATGATATCATTAAATCTCATCGATATTATAACATATTCAATTTTCTATTGACACAAAAACAACGAGAGTCAAATTATCAAAAATATGTAACGAAATTAATGAGCTTAAAAAAAGGAAAAATAAATGAAGATGAAAGAAAAATTCTTATTAATGAACTTGAAGAAATTATTCGTATTATAGAAGATCAATGTAGACAAAATATTAAAGAACAGAAAAAATCTCATTATTCTTACGATGATGATCAATGTGAGTTTATTTCATAATTTAACTATTGTTTTACTTTATTTTTCAGCAAATTTACAAACTTTAGATGATGATGAATTAAAAGAAGATGAATTGAAAACACAGATTTTGTTTGACTCAGGAATATTATCTTATCAATACATGTTAAAAAAAGCACTAGACTTGAAGACAAAACAGAATATTCCACCATGTACGGTATCTGGTGATATCAATGATGCACCATTTCCAATGATAGATGAAGTTTTACGAAATCCAAAATTAATAATTTCTACAAGAGTAAATAGATTCCAATGCGGTAAATTCGATTCTGATTACTACAAACGACGATGGACCTTTAATAATCGCTATCTGAAATCTTGGCGGAAACCGAAAAAAAAATCTTCACAACATTTAAATGATGATAAGCCAAATATTCAAACAATAACAAATGAAACTACGAGTTCTCATTCTTCTGAAATGGCAGACAAAGACAGAATAAGAAAATTTCAAGATTTTGGAGAATCAAGAAAAACAATCAAACATCAAGTATTAGTCAAAAAAGACTTGCCAAAGAAAAGTACTTATTCAGAACAGGAAATAATGGAGTTTCGCAAAAAATTTGTCCAACAAATGAAAGATAATGAAAATGAATTGATTAAACTTTGTGAAAATATTAACTTGTTACGTAGACCATCAAAACAGCGTATATATGCTAATTTGAACGCTATGTTTTCTTTATCTACCGTGTCGGATGCGAAACAAAAACCCATTAAAGCATTACAAACTCATGGTTATCGTGAAATTCCATTAAAATTTCCCTGGAATGGAGTATTTGATGCAAGTGCCTCGTCATTGGTACAACAAAATCTATCAGCTTTGTTTTTTTTCGAAGTTCCACAAAAAAAATAACTTCAATACAACGAACTACGTAATTAAAATTCCATGATTTATGATTTTCATCAATAATTTTGAAATAAATAAGACGTATATCCCACTGAAAAATGTTCATGAAGAAAAATGCCTTTATGATCGACAAGAATATGTTCTGCATTTGAAGAAACTTCTGCGAACCGTTGCATTGACGATTAGAATAGTTCCCTTGCCGTTCTTGTTTGCAAAGGCAAGAATGGAATTTCATTGAAATGAAATCGTCTTCTTTAACATTCTCAAGATGAATTCTTTGAGCTGGTGAACGTATTGTGGATAATCCGACATCATGCTTAGAAAAAAAAAGAATGTTTTCCTTATAGGGTATGGGTAGTGTCCCTAAGTATTTAGTAGCCACAAAGTTGTGCTTTTAGATTAGTCAGGGGTGGGTGTGAATATTCTGTACCCCCACAACTATACCATACTTCACCCACACCCACACGCATACCTTCACTCTTATTTCTTATAAGCATTTTTGTAGAGAATTTTTTTCTCTATCTTTTAAAACAAACTGCACCTCGAACGGAGAAACTAGTGCTGAGAAAAGTCAAAAATATCGAGGCTATCGAATCTTAGGAAAAAAACAAAGGTCTTGTGAGAGACCTTATCAATGTTTTGGTCATAACTCTTCACAGATTCAATCAGAAGGTCTCATATTTTTACCATAAACTTTTCAGATCATGATCTGTTGAATGGCAACAGAAATTTGAAATTTGAAATTTTTCGAGAAGAGTGCCTGGCGGACCCTCTCTTAAATATAATAATAATAAATTTTCTTGTTTTTTTTTTAAATAACATACATCATTAACAAAAAATGTTACCACCATAAATATATTCTGTATCGTATACTCATGTCATTTTTCAATAGTTACTTTGCTTTGATTAAGCCAAAATGAAGCTTTTTCCATGATCGGATACACTTTTTCATGACATCGACATGGCTTTCAGATACATCTTTAATACAGAATGAAACTAAATGACAAGTGTTTTCACTAATTTTTGAGAACAAGAATGAGAACAGTTCTTCATAATTTCATACATATATATCCATTGTGAAATGTTGTAATCGTTGACATAAATTAACAAATAAATATACTGTCTCTGTCGTCCTCATATAGCGTGATGTAATAATTAGATTTTGAATATTATTTGTTTTTGATACTAATCGAAAGGTTTCACTTTGTTGAAATTCATATAAATTCATGTCGTGAAATGTTATTAGTAGATCAGAACTGTGCAAGGGTTCAATGCTCAATGTATGAATATTAGGTGTATAGCATAATAGTTCGATTATTTTCAAAAAACAAGAAGGATCGGAATTGATAACCAATTTAGTCAATGATTTCAAAGGAATGATTTTACCGAGTTGAGTTGGAAGAGCATTTTTACAATCATGAATGAATTCATAACGTAGGATGATTTCAGTAACATTTGGAAAATAGTTTTTACAGTCAATCATCTCTATTTTCGTTCGATTTTCAAGTTGTTTAACTGAATGTATGTAATTTTTTTCAACATTTCGATTAATGTCTTTTGTTACTGTCATTATATAACACATGTTGTGTTCGTCTGCAAAGTAAAAATATTGTAATAAACAAATGAATTTATTCATACCTATATGGATTAATTGAATAGAAAATAACATGATTATTGTTCCGAGTATAATAAATGTAATATTCAAAAAACCATTTCCGTTCGAACCAAAATAAAGAATTGAATTTATTAAGTAGAATGTCATAAAGTAGATGATGGTCTTTGTGAAAACAATGTTCATATTGGATATCAAAGATTTGTAAATTTGGTAAATGAGCTACAATTAATTCTTCCCATTGATATGCATCAAGGTATGCTTGATCATCCTTTGTCGCAATAAATAACACTTGAATTTGATGAAATAGAGTTTTGATAATTGATTCAAATTCATCAAAAGTAACTTTTGTCATAGTCATCGAAACATGTATCAAATAATTCAATACAACTGGATACAATTTTATTGTCTCATTTTTAGAAAATTGATGTAAATTACGAATTGATAGACGACGAATTTGAGGAATATATGTTAAAATAGCATTAAGTTCATCTATATAAAGTTTATTACTAATAATAAAATATTCTATAGAACTAAATTCAGAAGTTGCAATAGATAGTGGATTAAATTCAGTATTTCGTTCTAGTGATAATTTGCAATATTTCAGTACAGGTAAACGAAATATTTGATGATAAATAGTATTTTTATTTTGCACATTATCAATACAATTGATAACCAATGAAGAAAGGCAAGGTAAGGAGATTAAATGAATAAGAAGTTCTTCAAGATATTTTGATTCAACATTATGAAGGCTAAGATTTTCAAGTCGAGTAAATTTTAACCGAATAGAAATCGGTGAAAAGATACGATTGATAATCAATGGATTTGATAGATTAATTGATGTAATTCGATGTTGATAAGTAATAACAATCTGTTTGTAATAATATTCGAAAGTTGATTTCGATATGAACAATAGGTTGATTCGAATAGGAAGAGTTGGATCATTCAAAAGATTTCGGAATCGAATGTTGAGATTTGAAAAGGCTTGATATACATAATAAAAATCCAGAAAATAAAAAATCTCATAAAAAATTTCATTAGGAAGCTCTTCAAATCGAGTGAAAGTGTTTCTTGTTAAACTAGAAGATAAAATTCGATTCATTAAGAAAATATTTTCTTTTGATTGACCTGTGTGAATCTAATATCAATTTCTTTTTTCTCTTGTTATCAATTATATTATTTTATGTCTGTCGTTTTTTCTGTTCCATCTCAAAATAAAAATAAAATCTCTAAAATAGTAAATACAAATATAATATTGAACAGGATAGATGTGTTTATCCCGTGCTATTACAAAATAATGATACGTACATATGTAATAACACATCATTATTTTTTAATAACCTTTACTTATTTTACAGAACAGAAAAATAAATAATGTTTGCTTGAAAAAAGAATATTGCACAATCTGTTGTAAACCTACAACAAAAAACTTGCATTATTATGATAACGGTCATAAAATTTCTGTTAAAGTTGAATGTTAAATAGAGAAAGTTAACATGACAAGTTCATATTATCTTAAAAATCATATTTTATAAGAAGAAAACGTGGTGGAATCAAATTAAAAATACAAAAAAAAAAACTGAAAGTTTATTAAAAGTAATAAATCTATTGTGCTATATAAAACTTAAAAAATGTTGAATATTGTTTCGATTTCACATCGTTGATAGGAATGATCGCTTTCATCACGTAATCTCTTTTACAATTTTTTAAAAATGTTTTAATGCCATAGTTATTGATCTGATGCTAGACATATGTCATAAGATAATTCGAGATGACATTGTGCTATGAGATCATTCTTCCAATCAAGAGTCGATTGAGTATTATCTGAATATTATTTCTTTCTCTTTCGTCATATATAGAGTATGTAGGTCTTCTTTTATTCCACACCCACACCCTCAATCAATCTGATTAATTCATGTAGACTGACGATACTGAGTTATTTAAAGGCAACTCTGTATAAAATCATTGTAATAATATTTTGCATCATTTCTTTTATTTTATTCTTCAAATACAAAAAAAAAAAAATAGTCAATACATTGTTAGAGATCTATAGAACCATATAATCAAGCACTTTGATTTAACTATCAAATCATTCATCTCACAAGACATACACACATTTATAGAAGTTTCTGACAAACGAGAGCAAGAAGGACAATTTAATAAAAAGAAAGAAAGATGTTTTTCTAATTATGACAAAGAGAAGAAAGAAAAAAAGATGAATGTCACTTTTCAAACCACAGATAAAGTACAAAGACGATTAATGCAACAGCAATTGTAATACCACTATAAAGAAATGTTCCACTACCTAAACAAAAAAAAAACATTTAGTTAAAAATAAAATATTATGAAATCATATTTACTTTTAACAGGAACATTAAGTTTTTCATTATTATTTGATAATTTTTTATTTTCCGATTGATTAATAAAAGTACTTTTTTTTGGTATTAAATCTTTTTTAATTTGAATTTCTTTTTCTTCATTTGTATTTGTTAAAATTCGTGAACGAATTTCATTTAAATCATTTCGTATTGTTTGTATATCTGATTGTTTTGTATAACGATTTGTATTTGTTAAAAATGCTTCATCTGATGAAATATTTGTTGTACGAAATGGTGTTGCTTTATGTTCATGTCGAATTATAGGTGGTTCATCATTTTGAAAATCATATGGATTTCTTAAACCATATGACATTGTACTATAATGTGATTCCGTTTTTGTTGATGAACGTTGTGGCGAATAGGAATGTGTTATTGTTTGTTCAGATTTTGGTTTTGTATTTGAGACATTTGGATAATAAGTTGATAAATTATGTTTATTTTTATTCTCAATATCAACACGAGTTAATGCTATACGTGGTTCTTGTAAATCTTGTGTATATAAACGTCGTCCAGGTGATGATGTTATATCATTATCTGCAGTTCTAAAAGATTTTGAAAGGAATAATAGATAGGAAAAAGTTATCCACAGTTTTCATGATCAGCTTTCTATATTCAACTTGTTGCGACTGTTGTCACCGCTAACATTACATCGAACATGAATTACGTAGATCTTTTTTTGCTGAGCTCCATATTTTTTAATTATCAACAGAATGAGCATAGATGAACTGTTAACATGACCATTGGTTATTTCACTGTTAAACTCTACACAAACGCTCATTAGCTGTGTGACAGGAGTAGAAGTCATATCGAAGAAGAGACAGAATATTTCATATCAGTCATCAAGATTCTCTGTCAAAATTGTTTTGAACGATAGTCTACTGAAAAACAACTCTTCGACTTTCATTCGAAGTTTTTGGGAAACGATTTTATTTGATAGAGTAAAGAATTCTGAACCAAATTGGACGTCTTTGATGTCTCATATTGGTCTACCAAACGAAAGAGTTGTGTTGGAATCTTCGAGCATACCAATTTTAATAGCAAATCCTTGCAGTTACACAAATATTTTTTCAGATTCCTGCTAGCTATAAATATCAAGAAGAAAACTTAAAAATAATAAGAATTTTGTCTATATAAATCTCATAGAAATACAAAGATACTTAGGGTATAGAATAGATAAACTTCAAAGAAGGAGATGATTGTCTTTACCGCGTTATTGAACTGCGTATAGTACGTGGTGGTGTTGTTGATACTGGTATTTCTGTTTCGATTTCATCTTCTTTTCCTTAAAAAAAATAACACAAATGAAATTTTTTTTTCAAAAAATTACAAATAATTCATTTTTACCTTCACTTGTTTCATTTGTTAATACTTCAAGTAATTTACGTTGATAAATTGATCGAGTATGATCTCAAAAAAAAAAGATTAATATACCTTTAATAAAAAAAGAAAATGAATTTTTTTTTCTTTTACTTGTTACAGGTCCAACAGCAAGGCCATGTTCAGTTAGACTCTTACGAAGATCAAGATCACTTAATTTTACAACATCGACACCTTTATTTTGCACAGCCTAGTGAATAAAAATCATAAAAATAAAGATAAAAACAAAAAGAAATAGATTTTCTTACCAATGAATGAAGACGTATTATATTTGATAATGTATCTTTTGATGCAAAAGATCCAATTTCATAACCAATTTCTTTTAATTTACGTTGTAAATCTACTTTATTCGACATGTTTAATCTTAGGAATGATCTAGACGAACAAAAAGAGTTCAAGCTTTATATTTTTCTCCTTTCTTTTTTTTTGTAAATGAACAAATCAAATAATTACCACACAAATTTATGACTCATTTTATCAAAATCCAATCAGAAAAAATTATGAGTCATATGTCATTGACTCGATAAAACAATAAGAACCAAATTTACTTTGAAATTTTCATAATTAAAATATGAATCTTGTTCAAATTGAGCGAACATCGGAGCATTTGTATTTGTTTATAAAGCAATTGAATATTCAGCTGGAACAAAAAAATTTTATTTTACTAATATCATATGGACTTTCCTGTGCATTCATTTTTGTTATTGCTGATTTATATTTTCTTTGTAAACGTTTAAATAAACTTGAATAAAAAAACATATCTTGAAAACAAATTCAATATTTGTTGTTTTACTAAATAGATTTTTTAGACGTGAGATACGACCGAGTAAAACTATCGAGTTTCAAGAAAAGAATTATTTTTTAAATATCTAAATAATGATCATGTTTTAATTTGTAAATAAATATATCATTTGTGAACAAAAGTTGGTTATTAGCTAACGATCGTGAAGATCCTTGATTGATTTCTTAATCCTTTACAGAGATGGGCAATCACAATATGTCCTACTCTAACTTCATACAATATCACTCCTATTTTCTGAAATCTTACTCCGAGTTGCAGTTGCTCAACTCTGACCCTTTATCCTCTATTGGGCAATTTTTTTTATCTATCCATAGAAACTTTTCTATATGGAGTAACGAAACATCGAATCGAGATGGTTACCGACTATTATGTCAAGCCTTCAGTAAGCTACAAAGTAGAAGAAATGAAACTTCTTTTTAACATTCCTTGGCTAAGATATATAAGTTGAAAAATGGTGTTCTGTTTTCCATTTAGTAACACAGATTGATTTACCGATGTCAAAACAGCATTTTTCATGACAACTTGGATCATTTTTGACTGATTTGTAATGAACAACATGGTATTCATGCGAAAAGCTTTATTAGAACTAATAGTCAGTTAGAAAGGATTCCACGACCATTTTTTAATAATTTTCTATTCTTCTGGCTGAGATTTTAACAATAGAAATGGATTATTTAGAATCGAAATCAGAATCAACGAAGACTAGTAACTCTGGCACGACCCTGAAAATAAAAGAACTGATTTCAATTTGCAAATAGCTCCTTTTACAAATGTCTAGCCATACATAGTATCCACCGAAAATGAATCAGTTTTCAAAAAATAATCCATCGTAAATAGTTTTCAGTTTTATACAGATAAAATAACAATAGGAATGCAAAAAGCTGTTAAAAATCAAATTAACAATAAATTCAATTTTTATGTCATTCAAGACGAATGGGCTATTTTTGACTCGTCCTGTATCTCCACAGTGCAATGACTTCGTCCAAATTTAACCCATACCAGTGTCATAATTATCATCTGCATAGGCTATTGATATCATTGACTGAACAGTAACTCTACTAAATGAGTACCAGAGGGTAAACGATTAAAGTTTATTGCTGTCTAGTTAGTTTTTTAATTTATGATCATAATCGTCCCCGATCTCCATCGAATCGCCTTATATAGAAGAATCCTAGATCTATTACTATTTCTCAATTCGTGTTTTATGAAAAATATAGAAGAATTTCTCTCATCGTTTGTTGTAAGAGATAACGTGATATGTATACACGACATTATCCTTAGATGTCTTTCATTTCGAATTTGAATGATAGAAGAGTATCCGAGGACTGACAAATAAGAGTTTTTTTTCTCAGCTTCTTCATAGTTTCAAAATTGCTAAAATAAAAGATCAATCCAATATTCATAATTGTTTTTACTCTCACACTCATATTCACCAAGAAATTTGTGAACCTGAATGTATTAGGTATGAAAAAATATTGTAGAAAATACATTACTCTTATTTTTCTCAATGACAGAACTGTAATGAAACTCGTAGTGCACTCTTGTTTCGCCAAGAAATTGTCATCGCTTCATTAAGGGTTCCTTTACAATTTAGAAATTCCTATTTCTCAGTTCCTGGACATTGCTGGAAGGGTGTGGGTGATTGTGAGTTTTCTCTTCATCAAAACCCACAGCCCACACCCTGATCTAAAATTTCCTCCTCTTCTTTCGATACCCAAACTTATGATTAACCAAATAAAGTTGATAAAACTATTGTTTTTACTTTAATAAACATTTGAAACAGATGTCTTCGACGTTGAAGTATACTGTTGTTAAAAAAAATTGCCACATGAAAACATTATAACAGGTCAGTACTTATATTTTCTGCTGTGAGTGTATATACTTGTTTAAATAGGTTAAGTTTCCTGTTAAAATGCGTTCATTTTCGAGATTTATCTATTCTCAATGCACGAAAATGTGTCAATAGCGAGAGAAACTTGTTTAAACTCGTTCTCTTCATTTTTCTGTCGATTGAATGAGTTAAACAACGCTTTTTTTTCTCTTCTATTTTTTGTTCCAATGTGTGGAAACACTGTTATTGTGTTTTTCTGTCTACGTGGGAAGTGAATCGAATGAGTAAGTGAAATAATAATGTTGATTACAATGAGTGCTTTGTTGAAAAAAGCAGATTGATAGAAAATTTGTGTCACGATCTTAAATGGATAAGTACTTCATCTGATTGTTGTGATTCGATTGAGAATGGCTGAAATAAGCCTGTGATTCAAGGAGTGATCCCATGTGAAAAATTTTTGCCTTAGCAAGCTATTTTTAAGCGGCTTAAATAAGCTTACACTTCAATCAAGTAATTTAAAGCGCTTAAACATTACGGTCTTAAGCCGCTGCCCGCGGCTTCAACCAATTAGACCGCTTAATATAGCTTACAATGCGCTTTGATAAGTACTTTCCAGCGTTTGTCATGAAAAGTGCTGTAAATTTTTATTCTTTTAAGTGCTTTGCAGCGCTTATCATGAGAACTGCTGAAAAGCACTGTGGTTTTTTATTCCTTTACGCACTTTCCAGCACTTATCATGAAAAGCATTGAAAGCTACTGTAAACTTTTATCTTTGGAGACTTGAAATATACTGTTGTCTTTCATATATTAAAACGACACCCATGTGCGCATATTTGGCTTTGTAAACTATTTCTCAGCAGCTGAAAAACCTAACTGTGCAGTAAGCTACTGTAAAGCGCCCAAATACATCCATTTCAAACTTCTAAAAATTAGTTCGCTAAGAAAAGCCACTTAAAGTAGCTTAGAAAACGATTTTTCAAGTATTCTAAACTCTTATCATGAAAATCGCTAAAAGTGCTTCATTTTTTCTTATATTTAAGCGCTTGGCATGACTTACATTAAAAAGTACTGAGGAAGGTCAGTGACTCCTTCAGAAGGCCGGTTGGAGCAAGCATTGATTGCCAATTTAGCTTACTTTCCGAAATATTTTTTTTTGTTTTTTCTGATTAGAAAATGTTCACAAAATGAGTCGATGTTACTGTTAGTGAACTTCGAAACACTTTTTTTTATTACGATCAGCTTTTTCTCAACGTCCTACGTATACCACTGTAGTCTTGTAGTCTTCTCAAATTTGAGCCCTACAAGTTGTTACAATGTTTGATTGCGCGTGCTGCAGTTAAGAATATTTATAATCACGGTAAAGTTTGGAGTAACATCTGCTTCAGATTTCACTGAATACTTGTAGATCAACACTATAATATGGAACATATCACTTGTTTTAATTTAACTTAACCATGATGTTTACCAGTGGCGAAGAATTCTTTACATTATTCACTATGAAAAAGATTCAAAGGTGACAGGTCTCCCAATATGCCAGGAAAAATTCCTGAATTTTTAGTTTTTTATGAATATTTTTCTATTCTTTCATTTTTTTACTTTTGAGACTTTTCCAATTTCAAGTTTTTTCAGTCTGAATGAAATTAAAATATAACTATTTATTGCATGCACACTCGGCGGTGTCGGCAGATTTTTCGATTTCTCCAATAAAATAAGAACTGGTTTAAGAAGTGTTAGGGGCGATTGTCTTCCATGTAAAAATTTATTCTCAGTTTCTTCTAGTAGAAGAAGCTTAAAAATGAGCTTTTACTACCTCTTATGAGCTTCAAAACATGTTCTATGATCATGATCGACCATAATTTCCACTCAATTACTGCACAAGCTAAAAACCCTAGATCCGCCATCGAGAGAAATTTCAATTTATTGACTTGTTTCGGGTCCCTTTTTCAGCTTGTTGCAATTTTTTCCTTTTATGTCAGCTTTTTAAAATCTGCGAATGTATGTTTTTTTACTCCTTTTTCAGTGAAGTTTGCTCAGGATTTTTCTGATAAAGAATCAATCCAAACTAAATAACTTTCTTCAGTTCTTCCTACGAATGGAACTGTATATTTATCTATACTATTTTTGTCAATTATTTGTATCTTAAAGTACATTTTAAGACAATGTATATCAATCAGTAGAAACAGTAAGGAAGTTTATTAGAACAAAAAGATAACATCGATTCGTTCATAAAAAGCAGTACCCTGTTTTTTCCGATTTTAACTTTTCTATTTGGAATCTTCGCCACTATTGCATATTAAATCACTCAATTCAACATTGCTGTTGGCTTATATTTTTGTCATTGTTCAGTGCGATATTTTATGAACATACGACGATAGAACAGAATGAAAGAATAACTCAATGGTCGTTTAATATAATGATAATGTAGCGATCATTTGAAAAGGAAATCTAAGGAACTGACAATACATCAAATAGTAATTTTATTATTAATCCCTCATACGTATGTACAGAAGGTACGTCTCGTTTATTTATTTTTTGTTAAATGATTTATAAAAAGAGGCTTTACCCATCGAATTTCTGATCTACATCTTGGAAAGTGGTGAAGCGTAATAGATATCTTTCGTTACATACAAGTATTTGTGAGTGGTATTCTCAAGTATTTTTCCGAGAGTCCAATTTCTTGCTACATAAATTTGAGATATTATGTCTCTTTTATTAATTCGCTT